ATAGTGCATTTCTCAATGGCTACATCAATGAAGAAGTTTATGTTGAGCACAAGTGTAGTGCTAGTGCAAAATTAGCTTCGCCATCTAATTTACTAATCACTTGTCTTAGTGTTGTTGTAGAAATTTTTAAATAGGCTATTCACTTCCTCTGTAGCCATTATGACCTTTCAAACAAGTAAGATCTAAACATTTTTAAATATAGCATCAACATATATATAACAGTTTTAGAAGAAAACATGAACTAGTTTCATATTTTTTAATTTAAACTAAATTAATTATGAACTTTTAAAGATCGAACTGGATTTTTATTATTATTAGAAAATAGAAAAATGTTTTGAACCGGCCAAGGACCAAATTTGTCCGGTTTTAATAGTTGGAGGTTGTCCGTTACCCGGTTTCATAGTTGAAGGTTAAAAATCAAACTTCAATGCGAGTTGTAGGTTAAAAAATATACTTTACCCTAATTAGATTAGAGCAAAGTTAAACTTCACTTGGGTGATTTAAGGCTCAATAATGCTCTCCTCACGGCATCCGGATGGACGGACGCAGATTCCCCACTCTCGTCCGTGCCAGTCGCGCCCCTTCCATCCAATATGCATGCTCCCCCGATGCTCCCCTCATGGTTTCTGCATCTAAAAAAACAAGATGCTGATTTCCATTCTAGTGCTGCTGCTCGTGCTCTCCCCGGCCTAGCTCTCCTCCTTGCTCCTGATCCTCTCCCTCCTCCACCTCGGCTACGTGCCGCCACCACCGCCTCCAGCTCTCGCCATCCCTTCTTCCTCGCCATCGATGGAGGAGAAGCAGTATCAACAGTAGGCTACCGAGGTCGCATGCCCGCCGCCTCCCCTTCTCCAGCACACCGTGGGGGCACCTTACCGTGGGACCGTGCTCGCCCGTCCTGTCGCCAGGAGCGGGCAGCCGCTCGTTGGGGGCGCGCAGCCGCTCTTCGGGGCTACGCCCAGCCACCCGCCCACTGGCATCCCCCCACATGACTCCATGGCATCATTCTCTGAGTCGGCGTCGAGCTTCGTGTCGACGAGCCTCCATTCGTCCAAGCAACAAGTAGATGTTGCGCTTGAAAGTGCATGTTGCAAGTATATGTTTCAAGTGTTTTAAATGTTTCAGAGGTATGTTGCAAGTGTTTCATATGGAGTTGCAAAACTAGATCGAGATGTTGCATATGTTGCAATGGTTGTACACATATGTTGCAAGCGTCTGTACTAAATGTTTCGTCTTTTTTTCATTCGTATGTTTGCAAGTGTGTTTATTTAGATGTTGCATATGTTTCACGCATATGTTGTTGCATATGTTTTATCTGGATATTGTATATGTTTTGCAATGGATTTTTCAAGCATTTTTCAGGTGTTTTTACAAGTGTTACGTATGTTGCAAGTGTTTCAACTGTTTTGAATGTAAGTTACAAATGTTTTATTTGGATGTTTCAAAAGTAGATCGGGTGTTGTATCTCTCTCCTCGTCTTTTGCTGCCTCACCTCGGTGTCTTCTCTTCTCGATGTTGGTGATGTTAAGGCGGCATGGGTGGGGCGAGTCGTTCAAGCGACGTGGAATTCGGGCGGGCATGGCGTGCAGCATGGAGCAGGCGCGGGTAGCTGCGTCTGGACGTGGGTCTAGGGCCAGACATCCGGGCGTTAGCCTGACCATTTAAGGTTTCCTCTTATGGATGTCACTTATCTTTTTCCCCAGCTGCGGCAAGGATAGGCTTACGATTTAAGGTTGGCAATTGCTCGGGGACACCGCACAAATGTGAAATTTGCCATTGAACACCGGCAACTCAGCAATTGGTCCAGTACCATTATGAAAATAATGGTTATTTACCACAAGATACCGCAACCGTTAACATATCCATTTTCGTGGTTTAGAAGAGAGAAAGGAGCATGAATAGACAATATTGCCCCTTAGTCGTCTTCCACCTCTTGACTCCACCCTTCTCTCCCTTCGTTGCGGCCCGCACTCAGATGGGAGGAGGAACACCGCCATCTGAGATAGGCAGAGGAAGAGGCAGAGGAAGAGAAGGAGGTGTTTCAAGGCTTGCTGCTTTGTTTGATGCTTGAACATGATCATTTGTTTGGATACGTAATGACTAGTCACCTGGACATGTCATCTTGGCAATTAGTGCCATTATTTTGGTCATGAGATGTGATCTGGATATTGGCATATATATATAGTGTCGTTATTTTGGTCTTGAGATGTGATTTGAACATGTCATATTAGCATATAGTGCCGTTATTTTGGTCTAATGTGATCTGGGTATGTAAACCATTCTAGATGTGATTTGGTCATGTGAATCATTCTATGTATATGATGCTTAAATATGACTTTGACCTCTAATCTATTGCTTACAGAAGCTATTCGGCTGATGGTTTTTGCGGCTGATAAGCCAGTTGATGCTGTTTTGTTGCTAGAGAAAAATACTATTCCATGACTGATAAGCCGGGGCTGATAAGTTGAAGTGAACAGGGTAATGATGCTTGCAAAATGTGCTTCAAATCAGTGCAAAATTGATTATGTCATTTCAAAATGTATCTTCCCATTAATCATGTCCAAATATGTAAAAGACTACCGGATTGTAGTGTCATTCATACCCAGGGAAAATATGTCTTACACTCATACACACACCGTTAGTCTCAGTTAACAGAATGAAGGTAGTGCAAACATTCAAATTCAAAAAATGGGGGCAAACATGCAAAGTCCGAAAAAGAGAGACAGATGAGTAGTTAGAGGTCAAAATGAGGGCAGAAATGCAATTGGCCCATGTAATTAACTTGTATATAACCAACTAAAATTTTCAAATATCGCAATAAGCATACGAGTTCAGGTTCAAGATGCCAGATGAAGATGCATGTTTAGATCTGATGTAATTCCGTGATCTAAATTCAAATAAATTGCTAAGAACTAGCCCAAATTTCTTATTCGAATTTATTTTCTACCGTCGCGTGCTAGCTGACCGTTTATTATAATTAGTAGTGAAGTTTTACCGGCAAATGTTGTGTGGATAGCGGGTGCAGCGGATGACGTACAGCAGCGCCTTCTTCCTCATGTCGACCTGCACCATCCATACCTTCCTTTCCTTGAAGCTTTCGAACTCGATCTCACCGACGCTGAAGCAGACGACGTCTGGGTTGTCCAAGCTCACGACAGGGCACGTTGGATGCAGCAGCGGAGGTCAATATAATGCTGACGAACTTCAACGCGCCGACGCCGCCGACGCCATATCGTCGCCAACGATGCCGCATATGTCCCGAGAATACTTGATCTCCGGGTGACTAATGTCCTCGTAGTCGTGGTAGCCCGTCCATGGAGGGGGCACCACGGGCAGCCGCACGTACCGGAAGCTACTGGGGCGCTCCGGATCCGCCATGTCGCACAGGAAGACGAAGCCGCGGCTGTAGTCGACCCAGCACAGGAACCTGTCGCCGACGGGGACGACCTTATAGCCCATGTGATTGTGCCACGACCAAGACCACGCCCTCCGTTTGTCTCCTTCGCCGGCTCCGTCGCGCTCGTCGAGGACGATGTTTGCCGCCGGCTTGAGCTCCCACTCGCGCCCGCCGACGTGGAGCACGCACACCTCGGTCATGAACGTGCCCGTGTCCGCACTCGGCGCCAACTCGAGCTGAGCCACACAAGGAGCTCGTCCTCTCCGCGTCGCAGGAGCCCTGTGTTCTCCTGGAACAGCACGCGGTCCAAGGACGAACATTTGCCCTTTCCTGCCCAAGGAACATCGCAGGCAGGGAGCTGCGACAGCGATGGCGGCCTCGTGGTCGTGGTCGTGTCAGCGCCTGCTCTGTACACGAAGTAGTCGCCCGTGTAGGTAGCGTCCAAGAGGACGGAGTCTCCGTGGGCCGCCATGACTCGAAACTCCCGGGGATCGAGCTTGGCGCTCCCCTTCCAGTCGTAGTAGAGGAAAGAGCTCTCCGGCGGCGACGCGAGGCTCAAGGAGACACGGAGCTGTCCGCCTCAGCCACCGCAAGCGGAGGTGCGGCAATCCGCCATGGTCTTGACGTCCGCGACGATGGATTCATCCCTGAGGCAGACGAGACAGTTCAGCATTGCCCAGCGTGGCGGCGGCCGGCGCCGAGGCAGAGGCGGGCTCCACCTCCATGTCGCCGGAACCAGCAGCGAGATGACTGACGGATCGCACACCAACGAAAGTGGAGGGTCGGCATCTGAGAAGGCCCAAGGTTGACGCATTGGACCAACAACCATGACCAAGCCGCCTCAGCATCTTCACACAAGGCGAAGGTAACTAATGGAGGTCACCAATGGCGGCTGCGTTCTTATCTTAGCCCTTTTTCTTTTTGGAAAAAAAAATGAGCCCTAGCTCTGTTGAACGTCTCTCTTGGGCTGTAGCGCCGCAAGCCACGCACGCGTGAAGCCCATCTGAACAAATTGTTGAGATTTCGGCCCATCTAACTATCTTCCACAGTACAAATGATGCGTAAAGATGATCCCATCTCGATAGTCAATACAGGTCTAAGGCAACAAGCAACCATAAAATATGAAGAATTGCCTAGACCATCCGCAAGAGATCAAAAAAAAAAAAAAGGTTTACTAGCCTAAGCTTGTTAAACACAACGTGCAGCAGAGCAGCTTCACTTTAACCTTCCATGTTCAGGTAACACATCGTCGACAGAACCAAGCTTAATAACCAGTAGAAGAGGGTTTCTTTACCAAGGAACTCAAAAGTCTGAACCGAATCGATTGAGTTTCACAATTTCACTGCATGAAACTTCAGTTAAACGTCTCGACTTTACACAACCCAGCAAGTGGGTCATCATCTCAGGGCACCTGGATGGATGGATCCACGGATATATATGTCTGCCGTAGCTTATACATATATATAGCAAATATATAAAGTTGGTCACTTCCTAGCAGCTACCTAGTTTCCAAAATCATCTCAGCAGCCACCAGCAACTTAAGGATAGTCAGCTACCTTCTACTACTTATATACACAGCACGCTTTCGTCATCATACTGTATGCTATGGATCTCCATCCGCGGGTTTCTCCTCCAGCAGCTTGGTGCTGCAGGGATGCCCTTTGCTGCGGTTCAGTATCGATTCTTTAATCTCCTTGTACTTGTTCAGCTCCTCCAGCGCGTCCGCCGCTGTCCTTGACCTCAGAAGAGCGGAAGGCACCCCTGCAGAGCTTGATGCCCTGCTGCCATGTTCCTCGGTCACTACCCTCTGGAGTGAAGAAGGTTCTTGAGGAACTGGAGAACTAGGGCCTGGCAGTAGTAGCCTTTCCCTGAGGCCAGGGGCATTCTGTAGGATGCGCATAAGAATACCAATTGCTGCATCTGGAGACCTGGTTAATGAGCCTCCTACTTCCTGAGACGGTCCTTGGTCCTCCCTGTCAGATATGTCAATCCTGGAAAATAGATGAAGATCTACATTAGCTTATGAGAAACAAAGAAGTGAATGCAAATTAACAAACACCAAAAAAGCAAAATGCTAAGAAGAGGATGCAAAACTATTAGAAATGTTTGACTGATCCCACTGTGAACTCACCCAAGAATATAATGGCAAGTCCGCACAGTCACTATATCTATCTTTGTTAAGGGATAAACTTGATAGTACAAGACTAAACCTGGTAATGGTCTAGAAACCACACCGGAACCAGGCCAAACTCTTTCATGACTATATCTCAGCCCACCCCACTCCATCCCATCTTTATTTTCTCCAAATCTAAACTGAACCAGACCACAAGCATTATTGAGATTGAACCAGTCCAAACCATTTCTTAAAACCAAGGTTCAAAACCATAGCTAGACATTTCTCTCAGATCGGTTCCAACTGAAACGTTTGCTGATCTATTTGTTCCTACAGAGATAGGCCCGCCACGTGCCTTAACTTTCTTCTGTATCACACCCTTCCCCTGGTTCTTCAATCTTCATTTCTTCTCTCTCTGTTTCTCTGGTACTTGACACTAGGAGCTAGAGCTAGCAGCGCCGAAGAGCTTAGCACCGGCAAGCTTGGCGCCGGCGAGCTCCGCATCGGCAAGCATGGTGGGTAGGTCAAGGCTGGTCCCCTCAAGGTCCTTCGAATACATGCAGAGGAGTATGACCATGTCTACAGCCATGCCAGCAAGCATGGCGGACACGATGCCAATGAGGAACTTGGGGGGAAAAGGGTCTTGCTGTTGAAGGCGATGACCATGTTCTACTGGTTGCTGTCTTGCTGATGGGCGTGGCGCGGGAAGCGAGTGCCAAGGAAGAGCATGGCGGGCAAGTTGCGGTCGGTGGCGAGCTCCAGCACGAACTGCATGAGAATGATGCAGCAGGTGTCGTTGAGGAAGAATGTGCTGCTGAGCGCTCTGGATTTGAACCCGCCGAACCATCTAGAACAAACCCATTACAAATACTGCTCCAGACCGAACCAGTCCATTAGACTTTCGAACCTATTTTCAACCAAACTATACAAACCCAAATAGGAAACCAAACCAGTAAACCCGGTTTTAACCCAAACCGTTACCAGGTTTAAACAAGACTGACCCCTAAGCCCCTTATATTTGTCTTTATCAGATTAACATGAGACTCTAATTATGTCCATAATTTCAGACCTCAGTATGACAGGTTTAACCTGTGATAGTAGAATAAGTTGTACCTTCTACAACCCTATTGCTTAACTAAACATCTTAATTGCTGCTACTAGTAGTTAATGTATAGTAATATATAAGAAACAGTAAGGGCTGTTTATCTTACAAACGCTAACTTTAAAATTAGCCCACTGCCCGCAATTTGGACCACAAATTTACATTCATAGTCACAGACCAATTATTAGAATATTAGGAAAGCTGCACAGTGACCACTATGTGGCTGTGGTAGAAATGATATCTAGCCCCTGTATTGTGTAGTTCGAAAAAAAAAACAGGGATACTAAGATTTTCAACTGTAATTTCTAATTTGTAAATAACGCAGAGGCAGTAGACTTCAGTCTGGAGCATGCAAATGACATGGGTACTAAAGGTCTAAAACTTCTGTCTGTAGTTTGTAAATGACACAGGGGCACTAAGACTTGAGTCTGTAGTTTGTAAATGGCACAAGCGTACTAAGACTTCTGTGTAGCTTGTACTTTGTATAAATACCATACGGCTACACAAGCACTACAAGAGTTTTTAGCCAATATTTGGTTTCATCCACAAATTCCCATATTACTTGCTCTACGAAACATTGTTATAGAAGGCGGCCAACACCCAGCTAACCTGCTTAGGCACCACCCTCAAGCATAATACCCCACTTTCCTTGTAGCCAATGTAAGTGCCCACTTAGCAGCAACTAGGTGTGCCCTGTCACCTACCACTGGTATTGAATATTTAGATTTTTGTGGATTTAAGTAAGGGTATGCATAATATTTCTACTAAGAGAGCATGTCTAGCTGTTGGATGGTAAATCCTAGTGGCTAGTGAACATCACTAATTTCTTCCTAAAACTGCCTTGTTCTCCACTGGTGCATAGGCAATACCAAATTTAAGCAAAGAAAAGCCAGATTCAAGCCAAGCTGAAACAGAGATCAGCAGGATATATTGGGCAGGCTTAATGTATAACCAGACTTGTTTTACTGGGAGTCTGGGACTGGGTTCTCCATTTCCAGGGCTTGCTCTATACCTGAACCTCATAATGCCTAACCCATATACACTTTTGTGTTCAGAACCAAGCTAAGGACACCCCAAAAGTACATTGGGTTTTTTCCAAAAGCTATACAAGCTACCAACAAATGCTTTTGTCTATCTGCCCTCCTGGATGTCTAAGGGGTTCAGGCGTTCAGCTCCTCCCATGTTCCATGTAATGTTGTTCACATGCCACCCAAGCCTCTCCAGTCTCCATGGTTTTAGAAATATGTTTCTCAATACATTAAAAGAATATATGGCATATTCCATGCCTCTGTTTGCAAGGTCACACTTAATCTAAATGATGAAAAGTACTGCCGGAAAAATTCAATGCAACACATAGTAAGCCCCAAAAGTCAACAGAGACAACTGAGCAAGCAAAAAAACTATGGAATCACAGAAAGTAATATAATAAGGGGAGAAAAGGTGATGTCATTACATCTCCAGTAGGTGCTTCATTTGAAGAACTGAACAACAGCACTCTTTATTTATCTACTAGAGGATGGTTTCATTTGAAATAAGGGTAAAACCCAATCATCAAATGTCTAGTGATATAGACATGTCTGAACTATAAATGTTGCAGGCAACCAACAAGCATATCTTGATAATAGAGAGAATAATTGGTTCTCCAAAGTAAATCACTCCAACAGAAAACCATGATTAGAAAATGAAATGCTTATAAACAGAATCAATAGTTAAATCTAACATAATGTATAGTATGATGCACAGAACTATTCTGACTCATATAATAAATATAGATGCACCTAATAGGCTAATACCCATGTTGCTTCTAACACCTAAACTAGTTCTGCAAATAGACAATGGTGCCCTTTTAGTGGGAAAACACTTATAGAAAGGGAAAATTTGATAACTGGACCAAATACAAAAGCAAAAGCAAGTTGGATCTGAATGAGCACTGAAATTACTCTACAATATAGGCAAAAAGCTATAGAATCTCAATCAAACGACCTGAACTAATTAAGATGTTTCTTGTCATCCCAATGAATGTCCTGTTTTGAATTTATCATCTCAAGAAACTAAAACATAAAAAAATGCCATTGCTCTATATCTGCTAGATGAAAATAATCCAGTTTTGCCTATAGAAATGTGAAATCCTATAACATGTTGTATAAATATGAAGACTTCTGCTAACATTATTGCTTCAAAGGCCTTCTGAAAGCAAAGATGGTTCATGACAAAATTACTTAAGCTATGTACATCAGTGGCCACCTGGTGAATGTAATAACCAATGCCATGGCATTCCCAGAGTAAAAGTAGTGTTATAACCTACTAAGCAAAAATATAGGTGTTCAAACTTTATCGGACACCTAGGTCATTTATTTACACAGAAAAAGCACATGCATTCACGAGCATATGCATATAAAGGGGATCAAACATAAACCAAATGCAATACAGCAGCAGAACAGCGATTGAAGTGATGGATAGGTACTATGTTAGTCTTTTCGACCAAGGCATCATGGCATAATGTCATGAACTATACATATTTTCATCCAGTGAGTCAGAAAGAGAACCTTCTAAGCTGATCAATGATGGTGTCTTTATCTTCCCATGCAAAAACTAACTCCCGTTCATCCAGTTCATCCATGATGAAAAGTTTACTGGAGGTACGAGTCAACTTTAGTCCACGAAAATACATCAAATCATCATTACCAAAAGATAAAACCTGCAGCAAGAAGCAGAACCAGAAATTCATAAGTCAGAAATGAGATCCAACCATCCAATAGAAGAACCTCATAATAAAAGAAAGAATAGTATTCCTCAAGATTCACATTTTGCTGGAGAAGATCAACAAAAAAAACAAGCAATTACCTTTTGCAAAGACTTCTCATTCTGAAACTCACTAAGCTTGACCAAATCCTTTGATAGTATTGATTTATCATTGGGAGAATGTGTCAGATTCTCATTTTGAGATGAGCATTGTTGCTTATCCTTCCTACGTGGAGAAGGAGGCAGCCTGCTACCACCTCCACCAGCCATCACTGTGGGAATACTTAAAGGAGCACTCTCATATCGGAAGAAAGGATTTCTTGGGTAGCTAGAAGGCGAATGGGATGGGTGATTTGGCGACAGAGGTGGTGATGGATAACACTCTTCATTTACTGTATTTCTCTTCTTCCCAGATGATGATGTGTTATGTGGATTTGAGTATGCTGTCAGAGAATTATCGGTAGGCATGCGTGGCTGTAGGCGTCCATGGGGTTCTGAACTCATAGGAAATGGCGATGCCGATGGTCTAACTCCATGCTCGGTGCTACAACTGTGCCGCCTGGTCACTGGAAAACATGCAGGTGCAATGCCATCTGAAGGTAGGGAATCGAGCTTCCTAAGAAAATCTGTTGTGGGGCTTCCAACATAATCCTTTATAAGCTCAGGTGGCATCGGTGTGGATTGCTCTGGTACTGCAGCCAACTCCAGCACTGGCACATATGAAACAGACAAGCTTAAGGAACCAAACAGAGTTTCAATCGGAGCAAATGCATAGTGTTTCATCTCTGCATCCTCTGCGCGGGTGAATGGTTCAACAAATGATGAAATCTTGTGCGAGAGGCTCAACGGACAGATCCTTCCAGATGAATTGAGCCCCTGGAAGAGATGGTATGCTGGCAAGAGCCTGACAACCAGATATAGTGACCGGAATAACACTGTCGAGCCACTGTATGCCCTCCTGTACAAGCTATGATCCTGAGAAGAGCTGCTTCTAGCTTTCTTGCCACCATTCTTGATAACATTGCCAGACCTGGTAGTTTCATACTTTATTACCCACCTCTCAATGATCCTGCTGGCCCCGACACTGGCGGTTCTGGTATTGTCACGTTGCAGGAGGACAATGTCAATGACCAGAGGCTCAAGGTTGCTCTGTCTCCACAGGTCAAAATTCTCAAGCGCGGCAGGGCAGTCCCGGAGAGCAAGGTTGAACCACCGGTCACGTGGCTGGCTGCCAGCCAGCGGCGACGACGGCGGGGAGGGCCGTGTGAAGTTCCGCGACGAATCGTACGGTGAGCGCGACTCCAGGATGATGTGGAGGCTCTTGGCGAAGAATTCAGTGATCACTTGCTCCACCATTGGCGGTTCCGACACACCGGCAGCCGCAGCAGCAGCCATGGTTGTGTGGCTGTCCAGACTTAAACTCAGGGGTTCAATTGAAGTCCCAAAACCTCTGAAAAACGAACTGCGCCAGCACCATGGCTAGATTGATCTTGCTCCGTGACGAAGAACCTAATCGGGCTGCCAGTGGACGGATGGACTGAATCAGTAGCACTCCAGACAGCAGGGGCGGACCCAATAAAGGACATGGGTGTACACATGTACACCCGACCAAAAAAAGAAACCGAATTTAAGTAGGCATAGTACATGTATACACTAGTGATTAGATCAGATCCGAAGACAAATAACCACATAGCTCAAGTTAGGGTTCGGTGTTCAATTTTGCACAGCAGAAAGGAAAGGGAAGAGAGGGAGGGGGGGCGAACCTGGTGCGCTGGGTTCTAGTGGCCGGCAAAGGGCCCGACGAAGACCTGGGCAGCTTGGCGGCGGGCGGCGGCGGCCGCCCTAGTTATCGCGCTCGCGCACGCGAGGTGTACTGGAGAAGAGAAACAGCAAACAGGTGGGAACCCACGAGAGCAATTCTTTCCGGGGCTGTTCCTTGCTTCTCTGCCGCGCGCTACTCTGGGCCGATTCTTCCTTCTCTTTCTCTTTTTTCTGCAGGTGCACGCGCATGGGCATGGCTACGCTCGTTCATCAGAGAAAGCGGCCCATGAAACTGGAGAGAGAACATTATTCTTTCTCCGTTTTTTTTTCTTCTACCCTTGGTTCTTCTTTTTCTTAATTTTTTTCCTGTGCTTTGTTTTGCTTCCAACTTTTTCATTATTATAAATTGTCACTAATAATTATCTCTATTTTATCAAATCCACTAGTGAAGATTTTTCTCTTCTTCTATCATTAACCTATTGTAAATTGTTATTGGTCTTTTTAACTACATGTTCTGGTTTAACTCAAGAGTTAAATTGATATTTCACATAAATGTAACAAAAGCATTTTTGTACAAAATCTGTAGCATTTTTCTGGTGATGTTAGAACAATTTCCTCGTTATGTTGGAACAAATTTCTCCTCAACATCGAACATTTTGGTTATGAAGCTGAAAAGTTTTCTTATGAGGCTACAACATTTTCCTAGTGAAGCTAGAAGATTTTCTTCAGAGCCAGAACATGCTTCATACTTTTCTTCGTAAGAACATTTTGTTTTTAAGGTTGCAAATTTTTCCCGTGAGGGTAGCACATTTTTCTAATTTTATTTTTATCTCTTATTTTAAGGTACAAAAGTCCAAAAATATCATAGTTACTATAGAACTCATTAGGATATGGCTTTAAAATGACAACTATGAAAAACGATAAGATATGGCAAGCAAACACTAGAAATCTATCCCAATCCTTCAATAACTTTATTCTTTGAAATGCAAAACTTTCAACATGTTAGCAATTCATTTCAACAAAGTTTTCCTCAAATGAACTAGTGTCTGATGTTTCGTACTAGCAACTAATGAATTAAAGAGCCAGGTGTATGCTCAGGTAGCTTAGCACTCAGGGTTTATAGTGGTCACAGCTCCGTTTCAAAAAAAAAATAGTGGTCACAGCTAACGTGCCCTATATACAGTTGGGATGTCTATTTGTGTTGCTGAGCACCAAAGGTTTAAAGTTTACAGTAAGGGTTTATAAACAGGTGGAAATGAGAGTACAAAACCTAAGCCAAAGGGTCAAAGGATTCGAGGAAGGTCGCCGAAGAATTTTCTCTTTCATATTTATGACTATGGGGGCCATGGAAGAACCGGAGAAAGCCATGTTCTTGTGGATTCAGTTTGCTATGCGTAAAAAAAAGCTACGACTTCCTCTATTTTGGTTTCGGAAGCTTATTCTGAAATAGACATTTGGCAGGGCTTTTAATTAAGCTGCTGAAGAAGCCCTGATGAAACAGGGTCAAATTCTTTAATCGTGGTTAAAGACCACATGTGTCATTTCTTGTTGTTGTCATAAAAAATCCTATAGAACTCTAGGTGAGCTTTGCCGTTGGAGGGAGCCAAGAGAAGCTAAATTTCTGATGATGCTACGCCTCAACGTAGAAAAAGAGGTCCGGCTCCTTCCAGCTTCTAGCCAAGATCCATTTTGTTCAACCTGTATGGGGTAGGACTCCAGTTGAAGCCAGAGTAGAAATCCCTTTGGGTGTTGCGTACTGATCATAGATCAGTTGGTTGGGTTTCTTATAGTGGAATCTGTCCATCCGGGTTCAAGTCCCCAACTTGATACGGATGCTCGCATCTTCCTAGATTTATTTCAGGATTTAACAGCGCTATGCATTCAGTGGTAGGCGACGTCCCCATCGAGTCGTCGACAGTGAGGCGCCTGTGGTGACTTCGTGAATTTCAAAATCTGTCGGCTCAGTCCTTCGGAGGTACTCATAGGGGTAGGGTTTACGTACGTGTGTTTATAGGGGTGAGTGTACGTGCGTGTTACGGACGTCTACGTTGTGTAATTTAAAAAAAGTAATCTCTTTGGGTGCTATACCAAAGAGGGCCTAAATGATCTTTGTTATCAGGTTTCTTTATTTCTAAATGGTGTCAAAAATACATCATTTTTTAATGCTCTCGTGAGGGCATCCAACCGGATCAGACGCGAGATGCGGCTTCCTCACTTGCTACCGCGCCATCCGAGTCCCTTCCGACGCCGCATGACCCCAACTCCGCCTGGCTGTTGCCGCCTCCCCTCGCCCCGCGCTCCTCGTTCCCGGCTGTCGCGTGCCCCACCCGCGCGTCAGGTCTTCCCCGGTCGAGCCAAGGGCACCCACGAACGCAGCCGGTGCTGGTGGTGCTCGCTCGCCGCCGGCTCCCACCCCCGACGGCCGGAATCGACCGGTCCCGACCTTGCCCTCCCCTATATTGCATATGTATGTTTCAGATATTTTAGATATTTTAGAGGTATGTTGTAAGTGTTTCATATGGATGTTGCAAAAGTAGATCGGGGATATTGCATATGTTGCAATGGTTGTACATGTATGTTGCAAGTGTATGTTCTAAATGTTTTAGCCGTGGTTTAGATGTATGTTGCAATTGTGTTTATCCATATGCTTCAGTTGTTTCAGACGTATATTGCAAGTGTGTAATCCGAATGTTGCAAGAGTTTCAATGTTGCAAAAGTAGATCCGAATGTCGGTGGGAGTGATGTTGTAGAGGAGATGAGGTAAGACAGGTGCCTCGGCACTTGGACCTGGTGGTGACCTCAGACTCTGCCATGGCCTTGCGACCCGGTATCGGCGTTGGACCCTAGCAGCGCCAGCTCCCGCTTGGATGCATCCGCGGCGATTGCACGGTCATCGTGCTCCTCCTCCTCTAGCGCCGCCAGCGAGGTGAGCAGCCTAACGATGGACTGTCCTCCTCTTCCCCAGCAGCTCCGCCGTCGTGCGCTCCGTGCTGCTTTCGGCGCCGGGCGTTGGTCATCCTTGCAGCGTTAGCGTTGGCGTTGGGGTGGGAGTCATCAAGGGTGTTGCGTCTAGACGCAGGCGCAGCCGTGGGATGGGGATAGACTTAGCAAATTGAGCCCGACCCGAGCTCGTCGGGTTTTGGTCCACGCACGAACCTTACTAGACAGGGCCTAGGCACAGATCCCACTGTCCAGAAAAATTTTACTTAGCTCGAGTCCGATCCGAAATACTGTTTTTAGCTATTTTACACTATAAAATGCACGAGCAGCCCGTCCAGGTCTAAGCCCGGCCCAAAAAATTAGACCTGACTTGTCTAGTGGGACAGTCATGGACATGACTTTTTTTGTCCGAAATAACCGGGGTTTTTTCAGCACTGGTCCGCAAAATGCTGAGGTCCAGATGGGCACATGGGCTGGCATGGAATGAAAGGCAGACGCAAGCTTGGGATGGGATGCGGGGGACGCCATATGGTTGGGAGCTGTGTCCGGACGCTTCCTGGGCTCGGGCGCTTTTTTTTTTTGGGGTGGGGTGGGGGACGCATGCCTCATTGTTTATCATGCTAACAATACTGAAATACACAGCCACTCAGCGACCTGCTGGCTGCTGCTATCTTCCTTTGGCGAAGCCGTTGATGCAGCAAAAAAGAGAGCAAAACACAGATGCCAGCATGAGCTAACATGACATGCCGGATCGGCAGGGCCGTGAAGCCAAACTAGAATAGGCTCAGGTTCGTTCTCTTTACAGTTCACTCATAATATAGTTTTCCTCACAGAAAAAGCTAATTGCTAATATGTTTTCTCACAAAACAGCACATAAAAGAGCAAGATTGACACCAGATTCACTCATCAACTTATCCATGCACAGTCCAAAGAAACACACACGCTAGCAAAGGAAATTTGTTGTTTTATTCCAAGATCTACGAGCTCAGACACTTTCCAAAGGTGTCAAGGTAATGCAAATTGGATTCACTTTGTCAGAAGTCGCTTAGCGTCATCACTTGGAACACTTCCAAAGTAGCATCGCATATATCATTTGAGCTTCTTAAAGAGCTTTGGTGCTACCTGCAGATGCATGTTTCATAGAAAATTGGTTATTCGCTAGCTTGACAATGCTTTTTCTACAACTAAAATTTAACAAATGGTAAAGTGCAAGCTGGAATCGAGTACTTACACATTTGTCGATGCATGACCAGTAATCAAAATATTGCCCAGTGCAATGTTTGTGACCAGTATCATCACTCTCAACTCTCTTGACACATTTCTGAAAACAGACAGCCACCATTATAAAAAAAAGGGCGTACCCAGTGCAGAGAGCTCCCGCTCTGTGCGGGGTCTGGGGAAGGGTGTCAGTGGCAAGCCTTACCCTCGCCTGTGCAATGCGAGGAGACTGCGACTCGAACCCGGGACCTTCCGGTCACAGGCGGTAAGACTCTACCGCTTGCACCAGGCCCGCCCTTCAGACAGCCACCATTATAGGTTGAACAAAAACACTCATGTGCCAGGCGTGCATATCAACAAAATGAAACACTATTATCATCCAAGGGTAAAATAAAACTATAAGAAGGCTAATATTAAAATTCAGCTTATACAGGAAATTGCAATGAAGATTTATGTAATTCCAAACCTCCAGCTTA